TGGGAAAGGAAGAATTAGAATTCTACCCGATATGAGATAAATGGTATAGGTGGATGGAGGAAAGAAACAAAAAATCAATGAAATAACATAACAAAACTCAAAAAATAATAGTTATGAGTAAAATAAGAGGGTTAAGAATGGTGAAATCTAAATGAAATACGATAGAAGGGGAAATAATATAAGGCGAGTGGTATCGATTGATGATTGCTATTATAAAGAACAGGAAGTTCCTGTTCGTACTGTATTGTATAAATGTGGTGTATTTTACATGTTTGTTAATAAAAAATTTAAAAAAAGAAAAAAGAATGGTCAGTAGCAAACGAAAGGCTTACTGGGGTGACTGATCGGCAAACATCTTTTTCCCAGCGTAGCTGCTGCCGCTTCCGAAGAGACCCTCGTCTTTAGCGCCCCCATATCCCGCTGTAGACAAACGTAAGCTGCGCCTCGACATTCTTGGCGAGTCGAAGACGGGGTCCAACTTGTGCGTGGTCTCAAACTCTAAGGCGGTCAACGAGTAACTTGAGCTGCAAGAAAACACAAGGCATGTTTTGGGGTTGTTCGTTGCGCGGGACTGCAACTTGCATCTCAGGATATATATATTTGCTTGGTTCTCTAGTATCTAGCATCCATGGCAGCTGATACAGCTGTTCCTGCGTGTTAACTTCCCAAAACAGACCCTAGGTACATGTATTTATTTATTTGACATTAGCTGCTGCGATATGGAAGCTGCGTAAAATAATTGAAGAAATGGGAAGTGGCAAGTGCTGATCACTATCCGAAGGAAGTTTAATTTTAAAGTTTTTGCGGTTCATCATTCCTGGAAGCTTATTATGGCCATTGCCTTGGTTTACCTTAAACCAGTGGTAGTCAACCTGGTCCCTACCGCCCACTAATGGGAGTTCCAGCTTTCTTGGTGGGCGGTAGGGGTTTGCTGTAACTCTGCTTCATAAATTTTATAAAGAAAAGTTGCTTCCCTACTTCATAAATCACCATTACTGTGGAACCAGTGTGAAAATAAATGAATAAAGAAGCCACAAGCAAACAAACAAGTAAATGAAGTACGTGCGATTCTTAGCTAGGATGTTAGGCATTGTATTGTTACAACTATTATACTATATTATTTATCAAATTGAGACAGCACCCTTCTCACCCACACAGTGACTCTATGGTGGAGTACAGTTAAAAACTATAAAGCCATTAAAAAAAAACAACTTCCAATGTATCTTTTTGGTAACTGAGCGATTCTTATGACCTTGAATTTAGCTTTCAGATGAGTAGATTGCAATTTTTTTTAAAAATTGTTACAAATGGTTCCCAAATGGTATGATTTTTAATCTGTAACTCCTTGATTTATGCAGCTGCTCTGCAGGGACGGTTAATTGTTTTATTTTCCACTTGGTTTTATATAATGCCCACTCTCTGGTTGTCTGTGCATGCCTTCCTCCTGGCATGTGCAACCCAAACAGTGTTATTTGGGTGTGGTTGCAAAATTCTTGATTTAGGGTGACTAATAAGAGTCTGAGTCACATTCTTAATCATCGCTTCTGCTGCCATAGAATGTAAAAATACACATAAACACAAATCCTCAATTTCTTTTTTTAGGTTCTCTGGAAGGCACACCGAAAGTGCCTTGTGACTGACTTTGGGNGCATTCCCCCCTTCTCCCTGGATGATTCAGGAACAATTTCTTAGAGAACCTGCAGACTGGTAATTCACTCCACTCCTGTACTTCTTACACTGGAGGAAGTGGGCACTGAGCTAAAGGGGGGGGGGCAAACTTTGAGTCAACTTTGTGGCTGCCCTATGCAACAATGGCCTGATCCTGGGAAAAAGATTATTTGTGTAGAAGAGCCTTTATTTTCATTGTACATCATGTATACAACAAAATTGGTTTTATTGTCATTTTTTATCATCTTTACTGTCAAAGATGAGTTTGCTTTAGGGAGCTGCAGGCAGGGCTACCATCTACACCCTTATGCATTCCAAAGTACAGGATAATTTACAATTGCTGTTATCAGCCTTACTAGATAATGTAGGAAGTAGGAAGCATGACCAGATAAGATAATTCTACTTTATTGTAAAACAACATTCACAGAATCTTACATGTCTGAAAATCTAATTCTCCCAGTCTCTTTTACAGCCCAAGAAATTAGGTAAAGGTTTCCCTCGCACATATGTGCTAGTTGTTCCTGACTCTAGGGGGCAGTGTTCATCTCTGTTTCAAAGCCCAGGAGCCAGGGATGTCCGAGGACGTCTCCGTGGTCATGTGGCCGGCATGGCTAAATGCCAAAGGTGCCCGGAACGATGTTACCTTCCCACCAAAGGTGGTCCCTATTTTTCTACTTGCATTTTTTAATGTGCTTTCGAACTGCTAGGTGGGCAGAAGCTGGGACAAGTAACGGGAGCTCACTCCATTACGTGGGGCTAGGGATTCGAACCGCCAAACTGCTGACCTTTCTGATCGACAAGCTCAGTGTCTTACCCACTGAGTCACTGCATCCCTTTAGGGGCAGGTCAATTTTGAGTCTCTTGCTCTATTCACCCATTATGCAGCTGTGGGCTATGTTCTCTCTTATCTTTCCCCTATCTTTGCTCCATCTCCCAAGGTCTTTCACACATACCGTTATAGCTGTAAAGCCTTTCATGTTAAGAGTCTGCACCTACCCCAGAAATGGTCAACAGCCGTCTGTTCCTTTATTGAAGACTCATCCAGCAAGGTTGAGATGTAAGACCCATCAGTTGTGCGGCTGCTGAAACTACTGTGGCTAAAAGCAGCAGAGCCCGGCATTTTTCTCCTTGAAGTGGTTCTTACTGAACTGGACTGTGTCACTGTAGTTTTATGCTGTCTGGTCATCCTTAACGGAAAAAGAAAGAATAAGAGGCAAAGAGGCAAAACCCAAGAGGGTTAAAATGCAGGAAAATATAAAAAAACATTTGCGAGTGCAGGAAAACGGAAAGAGGCAACATAGCACGCCCAATATAGTGTCGGTGTTACTATGGCTGTTTCAGGAGAAGAAACCAGAAATTGGCATTTCCTTCCCGCTCTTCATCTTTTTAAGAGTCTCAGAGGTGTTTGGCTACTGGAATAAATTGGAAATATAAAGCAGAGTTTGGATTCTGCATTTTAGTGTCATATTATGGGAGGAATCCTGGCTCAATCAAACATAACGGGAACCAATTACGGTCCGCTGTCCAAACATCGAATCATGACCATATACCATTGTCATACAGGAAGTGAGCATCTCCACAGAAGCCATCCAAGATCGAAGTACTTGTTGAAATAACACCACAAAATGTTGGGAGTTCCAGTTCTGAGCGTCCTGAATTTTAAACATGGAAGTCAGGCTCACTAAAAATCAGGTAGAAGCGAAGTCACTTCTAAATCAACAGTGTCCGACCTTGGCAACTTGCTAAGCAAGAGCGTTGTTACGTGAGCTTCACCACATTTTATTCAATTCATGACATCTCCTGGTGAATTACTTCAAGTTGGCTATGCCCACCCAGTCACATGACCACCCAACTATGCCCACCCAGTCACATGGCCATGGAGCCACACCCACCCAGTCACACGACCAACAAGCCACGCCCATCATCACATGACACAGAAGCCACCCCCATAGAACCGGCAGTAAAAAATTTTTGAAACCCAGCCCTGCCCCAAGCCATTGAAAAAATCATGATTTAGTACAGTATGGTATTAAAACCTAAATACAAAAAAGATACCATTTAAGACTTGTGGATTTTAACTCCCAGAATTATCTGTTCTAAATCAAGGGATAGCATCTGAGATTAAGCCTTTCCAGTCCCAAGACTTCAATGTGTGTACTAAGTTCATGTGTAAACCTTGCTGCATTTTAATGCGAAAACCACAGGGAGATGTTTTATCGCACTTTCCCAGAAGTTCGAAGTGCCGCGCGGAAACCACAAAACACGGTGCATTAAACTACCTAACATTCGATGGGACAGGACCAAGGAATGGATAACCTAAGACTGGTCGGTTAGGAATTATGTCGGTGAAATACAAAAAAGAAATCCAATATTTAATACTACATATACTTACAGCGGCAAGGATCGCCTTTGCCCACAAATGGAAAAACAAACTAACCCCAAATGAAGATGAAATAGTAAGAAAGATTATGGACTGTGCCGAAATGGATAAATTAACGAAAAGAAATCCAGGGAAAGGAAGAATCAGAATTCTACC